ATCACATACCACCCATGGGGTGAGAGGGGGATTTTTTTTTATCACTCTGCTGCCATCCATGGTCATCTGAAGTTTAGCAGGCAAATATTTTTGTCTTCATAGGAGCTTGGCAACTAGCTCAAAAACTGGGATCCTTCACTTAATGTACAACCTATAGTAACCTATATCTCAGGATTGTTGTGAGAAGCAAGTTCACTGAACTATTCTGAGAAGTGGAAACCCCTTTTCTATACCAATAAGCATACAGACAGAAGAGCTACTGAAGGGAAGCATAATAGATTGTTTATTTAGACTTTATGGGATTGATCTTAGGTTCCTGCTTCTTCCCTTGCTCCCCAAAAGAACGTTTGTACTTCTGCAAAGTGTTAGGTTTATCTTGACTGCTGACAGCTCATGCTTGAATGGGGATAGTACCACATTTACAGCATGACCATCAGAAATAATAGAAGGAAGGATTCATCACAAAAGCATGGCTGCACTTAAGACAGCTGAGCTTATTGCTGACGTCAATGAGATCAGTGTTTTTAGCATACTGAGAAGTAATGACGGAGCTGAATCCTCACATTTCAGAACTGGTAAGATTGCCACAATGTGTGACAGTTCTAGTGGTGAGGGTGTTACATTTTTTAGATACTGAGCTGTTAGGTAAAGGGTGGGTGGCTTTTTTGGAGAGGGGCATCATTAAAATTCTCTTCCTTTCTTGGTCCATAGCATAGCTTTCCTGGCTTCCCCAGCTTCTCCAGATGTGTGCAAGCTAAAACTCCCTTAATGCTGACTCATCCTAGTTTTCTGAGACATCTGGAAAGCACTAGGGAGGAAAAGACTGTTCTAGCATATAAGACTTTCTGTGTGAAAGGTTGCAGCCATTATGGATGCCATAGTTAAGCTACTAGAACATGATATTTAGCTAATGTAACAGGTGCCTCTCTTGTGTTTCCCTGGTACGCCAACTGCTATCTACAAATCAGTGGAGCATCTCCGTCTGGAATAAAATAATTATGTTTGTACTTGCAGAATTAAAGCAGTCTGCAAACACTGAATGTAGCTGTCAGTCTTATTAAAATCTGTGGGATCTGCTTCCAGATAAAGTGGTAGCCTTTATAAGTGATCCATGGTTGCTTGTTGAACTGGCTTTATGCAGGCAATGGTAATAAGTTTACTATACTGGATTGCAAAGCATGGTTGTCTGAACACAGGCCTATAACAAAATTGTTCCTAATTCAAGGGAAAGAGGGAAAAATTCCAGGCTTAAAATGCCTTGATTAATTGTTTGTGAATTGCTGTATTAAACTTCTTCAGTAATCTTGCTGCTAATTTATACAGAGCTATATACGCAGAATTTTGTCTTTATTATGAAGCGCTTCTTATCTCCTCAAGTCATTCCAGGGACAGTACTACTGGATAGTACTACAGATCCATAGTACAGTGTAACTCAACTCTTGCTGAATCAAAATAAGTGCTTGCTGGAATAGTGGTATGTCCGCTTCCTGTTGCTGTCCTTGCTGACTAACAAAATGTATTCTCTTTGTTATTAATGTGATAGGGCAGGGTTTCTCAATCTTGGCCGCTTTTACATGTATGGACTTCAACTCCCAGAATTCCCCAGCCAGTAAGGCTAGCTGGGGAATTCTGGGAGTTGAAGTCCACACATCTAAAAGCTGCCAAGGTTGAGAAACACTGTGATAGGGAATATTATTTTCAGAGTTGCCAACTGGCTGTTAGATAGCCAATAGCATAAACTTCCCTCTCCTGTTGCCTAAGTTACAGGTTTGGGTTCTACCATTCATTAGTCAAAGCTGAGTTTGGTACTTGAGTGTACTTCCCCAAAGGGGGAGAAGCTAAGCACAGTATAGTTTCCACATGGTGGCTTTGTGGTGGATTGGGAAAGAAAAAAATGTTATTTTCTAGAATATAAAAGTCTAGCATAAATGTGCTTAAAATATGGGCTAGGAACAATATAAGAATGGCTTAGTGTGATCATGGGAAACTTGGGGCTGCTGCAGCATTTTGGCTCTGATGTCAATGAGAAGTGAGGAAAAGGTTTCCCTTTGAAGGAATACATTACAGTTTACTTACAAATAGAGGGAAGAAAACAATCTGAATATTCTTAGAAGACAGCAGTCATTAGATCAGTAGGGAGACTTAGACCTCTGATTCTTCTAGTTTTAGATGATTACTCTTTTTTCCTTTTCAAAATGCTGCTGTATCTTTATACATATCATACCCGTATCCACATGACTCTCAGATGGAGGGGTCACCTTCATGAAATTCTGATGACTAATAATTGGAAGATCTCCAAATATCTGTTGACCATAAGTTAAAGATATCTTCTTCACCCTGTTCAGGCCCATTAATATTTAAACTCCCTAATCAAGTCTGGAGCAGTATTTTATTTCTCCACATGTTTATGCTCTGGTCCTTTTCTTGTTTCTAAAACACTGGAATGAAGCAATATGCATCTAAAAGGAAATGGTCTGTGTCATGCCCTTCTCTGGTATCTATGATTTGTCCCAGAAGGGATGATTCCATTGATACCAATAGGAGCTTTCATTTTGAGCTTTCATTTTGAGGTGAATTATTTATTGGCTTTATTAGCTACCCAATCCCATTGCAATTCTGGGTGGTATACAATGTAGCTACAAAATAATATATCATAAATAATATTTAAAAAATGACATCAAGCAAAATAACACTATTGCCATTAAATAAGTCATCTCCACAGGGGTCTACCACATATTCTCCTTGGGGCAAAACCCAGGTTTTAAGGACTTGCTTAAATAAGAGCAGGATGGGGGGGTCACATGAATCTCTGGAGGGATATCATTCAAGAGCAAATGCTACAACAGAGAAGGTCTGCATCCTTAGCCCCATCAAGTGGCACTTTTTAATTGATGGGATCGAGAATGTGCCAATATTGTTAGATCTTATAGGACAGGCAATAACCAAAGGAGATAGACAGTCCCTCAGGGGCTTCCATGAAGGACTTTACAGGTGACAACCAGCACCTTGAATTATACCCAGAAGCTTACTGATAACCAGTGCAACTCATGAATCAGAGGTGTTAGGTGGACATGCCATGGCATACTTGTAACTGCCCATAGCACTACATTGGGGACCAGCTGCAGCTTCCAAGTGGTCTTCGAGGGCAATCCCATGTAGCTCCAGTCCAAGTGTGAGGTGATGGAAGTAGGAATGACTGTCTTAAGGGACTCCCAATCTAGATAGGGTACAGTTGGTGCACACAAGATGGATTTGTATTTCTGGCCACAATTGCCCCCTGCTCCTTTGGTAGGAGTGTGAGACTAATTCATGGTGCTGTTTTTGATCTTTAAAGCCCTTCATGGTATGGGGCCAGGTTATCTGAGGCACCACCTCTCTCAGATTACATCTGCCCATCCCATCAGATCCGGTGGAAAAGATATGCTGCGGGTCCCATCTGCCACTTGGCGGGACCCAGGAGATGGGCCTTTTCTGCCATAGTGCCTGCCATATGGAACATCATCCTCCCAAAAGTGAGGTCGGTTCCATCCCTGTTAATTTTCTGGAACTCCCTCAAAACCTGGTTATGCCATCAGGCCTGGGGGCCCCAAGGGACTGGTAAGTTGCTGAGGTAGCTCCATTGTTGTTAATATCTGCTGCTCTCTCTTTGCCTTTTAATTATAATTTGTTAATTCTCTGGATTGTTAACTGTTTTTTATATTACTGTTTTATAGTTTTTATTGTAAGCCACCCAGAGTCATGTTTTTTGTGAGACGGGCAACCATATAAATATAATGAATAAATAAATAAAGACCCCCAAATTACACACAGTCCTGAAGAGGAAAGTACATCTCTGGATCTGGGTGGTCCAAAGCCCCATAGTTACTTGGTCTTGTCAGGGCTGAGCTTGAGCCTGTTTCTCCCCAGATACCGTCAGCCTTCAGTCATTGTCAGCCCTCCGAGGTAAACCAGACAGGAAACATGATCAGATGAGCTAATTCTACTTTATTGTAAGGCTACATTAACAGAATCTTGCAAATCTGAAAGTATAAATCTCCCACCCTCCCTATTTACTGCCTAAGTGGGTCCTTCCTAAGTTTGAATGTTACTCTGTCGTGGATTCCTTTCTCTTTTATCTGATCATTCCCTAGGCAGCATCTCCCCCACCCCCCGCCTTCCAAGGTCAATCTCACATTCCATCACAGTCACTGATGCAAGACCTTGAGAGCTTCATCTGGTTGGCCTGGGGTCGAGATGTACAGCTGGGTATCTGACCCCAAACTAATAGATGACCTCCCTCTATGGCCTTATGTAGATGTTAAATTAGAGGGGTGAGATCATTGAGTCCTGAATCTCGACATGTCAGGGGACTCTGGTTTGATCTCCTAGCACCACCTATACTGACTGGATGCAAGGAGAAAGAAAAAGAATCACTGGAACACCATGCCTCCCACTCTTAATCCCTGCAGACAGTTCATGGTTGATGGTATCAAAAGATCAAGGAGTACCATGATGACTGCACTACGCACATTCTGGTTATACCAAAGGAGCATTAGTCATCATCAAATGCAACCAATGCCATCTCAATATTGTGTTCCTATCTGAAAGCTCACTGAAAAGGGTCTATATAATCCATATCTTCCAGAGCTTCCTGAAACTGTAATCTGACTATCTTTTCAATAACCTTTCCCCAAAAGGGAAAATTGAGGTCTGGGAGAGCTGCTTGAGGAAAGGATGTACCACTGCTTCCTTTAAGGCTGGCAGTACCACACCGTCTCTCAGTGAAGTAGGTGCTACTGCAAGGACCCACAGGAGTAAGGAAAAAGTAAGGAGTTCCAACTGAAGATGAGGACCCTGGAGTTGGGATCCTCCATACTCCCATTTTGATCCCCAACTTACCCATGGCATATTGTTATTGTATAGAAAATTACACAGTGACTAATAATCTGATCAATGGCATATTTAACCTATATTACTTCAGCTGACTAACTCCAATGAACTCTGAGGTGTAAAGGTTTGAACTCAGCTATTCATGGGCCAGAGTAACAGTAATTTTCAATCCCCATCACCAAAGTCGTTGCTACTTAAATAGAAACACTTTACATTGTTTTTGAAATATCACTATGTCACTGTCACATTTTAGGAGGTAAAAGATGTCCTGTGTACATCTCTCCTGCACTACTATTAAGCACATTTAGATCCACCCCTTGGCTTGTTGTTGGAGATGTTTAGAGCAGCAACAGAGATAATAATACACTGTATTGCTCATTGTCTTATCTAGTTTCCAACCAAGCAAGCTGTGGCCAGTTTTGCTATATATAGAAATAATGGGACCTTAGATTATTTCAATTTGCGGACGTAAGAAAACTGTTTCCATGATACACACTGCTGTAAACCATTAAAAAATCCCTCACATAAGCAATGTAGAGCCTTTCTTTGTGTGTATAAGAAACACATAGACATACACATAATGAGTAGTGATTGCAAATGATACTGGGGTGACTTGGACAGACTTATAATGGTAAAACTTGATTCTCACTATCTTCTTAACATAGTTGATTCAACTTACTGGCATTTAATCATGTCAGATTCATCCACTAATCATTGGGTTTGACTGGATCCATCTTATCTTGGACTAGCATGGAGTTTTTTCATGCTGTACCAAACCTTTGGGTGTTATGTTACATTTCTTATTTGGCTAAGAAGAGATGGCAAATATTTTGTAAGTATCATTGTCAACTGCCCCATATACAGTATCTATTAGTGGATTATATGAGACTTAAGTGAAATAATATTGGTGTTATATCACAATGTTCTGCCATTTAATATTCTGTTTATGGCTGAAAAGATCAGCAAAGTATAATTTACACTATTTATTTTAAATGAGATAATCTCTTATGAAACTCAAAACAACCAGAAAGGCAATGTTGCTATGGAAAGTAAGTAAATAAATAAAAAAATTAAAAATCTAAAATTTGTATAATTACATCCATATTAAAAGAATACCTTCACTAAACCATTAGAGATCACAGAAATATGCAGGCTTTCAAATTTTGCAGATATTTGAAAAGATGAGAAAGAGCACAAATAAAGAAAGAAAGAGAGAGAGAAAGAGAGAACGGGAGAGAGAGAGAAAGAAAGAAAGAAAGAAAGAAAGAAAGAAAGAAAGAAAGAAAGAAAGAAAGAAAAGGTCTGGCTTGATGGTTTTTGATTATTCCAGTTATCTGTAAAACTGTTAGAATTAAGGAATGGTCCATGATTCCCTGGTTTTGAAAATATAAAATGCAGATGTTATTCAAGTGTGTCTTTTTCTTGGACAAAACAACAAAGTAAACAAAAAAATTCAACAGTACTTTGATAGATGAAAACAGAAGCCAATACAGATTTGACTCTTTATATATTAATGAAGGTAGAGATAATTTTAAGTAGCATATGCATCTTTCTGACTGTAATATGGAGAGGTAAACTGAATGGTGTAAACTAGATTTTAGATTTAATTATATTTCCTTTTTTATCTCACGCCTTTTATTAGCTTGACTTACTAGTTCTTATGCTTTTTCTGCACTCTGCATAATATTGTTTATCAAGAAGGGAATAGTGTGAGGGTTATATATGCATGTTTGAAAGCAGACAAATATCAAATGTTTTATATATGTTATAATAAAGCCTATTAAATGTCTATTATTTGCATATATGGGCTTCTTGCATTTCATAGCACTGCTTTGAAGTAAAGTGCTCCAAAGCTGATTCTGCTAATCATTCAGTAAGATGCTTCATTGTCTTTTGATAATAAATATAAGACTTGATTTAGCTGAATAACTCTAGTTTTGGATAAAATAGCAGAAGGGAACTTAATATTGTTGAAGTCTATTTTGTTCTGCCAAAAAAGAGACTTTTAGCATAAGCAGGTATCATTGTGCAGTTAACTTATGCTAGATCTCTTTCTTGGCATTGTAGGAAATATTTGGACTTGTATGAAAAGACTGAAAGGAATAATTTTAAGTATTATGAAGTTTAGAGGAAAAGCTTTGGGGGTTGGTTAGGTGTTGACTTGGAAAACTACAAGGCATTGCCAGTTTTGTGGTCTAATAGAGGAAATAATATTTTAGAGAAACCTCACTTTCTTCAAGCTGTTGAGTCTCCAATATTATGTTTGTGTAATCCCAAATCACTTTATTGCAAGTGTCAGCTTAATTATACAAGAATCTTCATGCCAGGATCACCAGTTCTACTCCAGTTATAACCCTACCTCCCTGTTCAGAAGCATTAAATTTCCTCTTCATTTAAATGAAGACAAGAAACTGAATTGCATATTATTTCATAGTGATATATATTTATTATGATGCATGCAAACAAGTTGGATAATTGTTCTTTAGCACCAGGCAACTAATTTGTTCCAACAAGATATTGAATTGTTGTTCCACTGCCATCTAGTGGCACAACATCCTAGGCTATCATGCTTATTGTTTTGTTTCTACTAGATTATAAATGTTAATCTAAACATTTCATTTCATTGAAAGTGTTGTAGCCCAATGATATGCTTTGAACATTTGAATGCATGATATAAATATATCTCATACACACACACATCCTTCTCATCCATTGTTTTGTTGCCATGAATTGGAGAATGTTTTTCTAATGATCAGATGAATTCATTTTACTCGCTCCTGTAGTCATATGTCCAAAGCATTTAGAGACAGCTTTCTGAAAAATTGGGGAAGGGGAAAATAGCACGTTAAATCAAGGGGAACAAACCCAAGATGTATTATATTGCATGATATTTATTTATGTAAAATATGGATAATCCATCCTGTATCAACTTGCTGAGAGCAGAATATAATCAATTAAGATGATAAAACACAATGAATCAATAAAGGATGATAAAAAATAAGTGAAATATAGATTGATCTATCATTGAGACTGAAGGGCTCTATTGCCCAACTCATTATTGCTAGTGCACTTCCTTTAAAATCAGTGAAATTTATAACATAAAATAAATAGAGAAATAAACAGGTTTAACTTTGTAGTCAGCAGTCGCTGCCCATCCAGGAATTTATTCTCAGGAGATATTTAAAAGTACATCTACATGTCCCCTTGAGGATGCCTGGCTGACAGCTCTTAAATAACATGACTGCATGATACTACCTTCCTCTTATCCCTGTCCATAGCTGAGACCAACTAATTTTGTGTTTTTCTGAACCAAAGTTGAAGTGGTGCTTTCCATCTTCTCCCCAAACAAGTTGTTGTTTGCATGATGTGTAATTTTGGTGATGAATGAGCAGATGACATGAAGGGGTTTGGTAGAACATGACCAGCTCCTATTGGATGCCTGCAGCTGGTGAGGACATTCCTCTTCCTCTCTAGTCTCCATTGTGGGTACTGTGCAACCTAGGACAGCATGAGTCATATTTCCCCTTCCAGATCCCCCATGTGGAGGATCATCCCTGCACCAAGTGGTGAGAGTCATATTAGCAGCTTGTGTGCAGTGATGGCAGTGACTGAACTAGAAGATCCCTCTCATTTCAGCCAGATGCTTGCAATTTGCTAACATACCACACAGAATGAAACGAGAACATCCTCTTGGTTTAGCCACTGCCATCCAACCAGTAGCTGCAGTGTTTGCATAATAAACCAGGAGACATGTAGGCAGGTCATACAAGATATGGGCTTCCCAGTAAAGCAGGAGTGGAAAGTCTTTTCTGGTATATAGGGAATCTGCCTAGTGCCTAATCCATGGGAGTGAGGTGACAGAGGACTACCTCCATCAGCCCATGCTCATGGAACAGGGGATGGAGGAGATCCTGAAGATGGGAGGGGGTTCCAGGAGGGGAAAACATTTCCATTGTTTTCAAAACATTATTTTGAAGCTCCCTCCAACTCAGTTTCTGACAGACAGCTAAACCAATCTCTTGCCATCTACCAGAACTTGCCCAGCGTCAGCCCAGTCCATGTTGGTGTGGGTGACTGGTGGATGTGTTTCTTGCTGACACATGGATCCATCAATCACTGCACCTTAACTTGCCCTGCAATAAACTGTTAGGACAGAACTATTCACCATCCTTATAAAGAAAGCAGCTAGGGCGTTCTTTAATACATGCTAGGATCTCATGTACTTCAGGCACCTAAGAGTGCTCAGGAGGATGAAGTTTGGTATGGTGATGCTGAATAATATTATGCCCTGCATTGTATAATAAAACATTCCCTGACTTACAGCACCTCCCATTTATTGTTAAGTAAGAACCACACTTGCAGATATTCTTAAACTGCAAAGGGGGGGGCCTGCGCCTGATCATTTGTGTTGCACCGACAGCTAATTAGCTATTGTGTGTCTCTCTCTTTTTTTTCCCCCAGGAGCTTTTAAACAATTTCCCTCCTATGCCAGCAACTTGACAGGAAGTTAAGAAAGGACACTTATGAGGCCTAGAAACATTAGAAAGCTCCAGGCAGCTGACAGGCAATTATTCCTAATAAGGTGTTATGAAAACCACAGCACAGCAGGTGCAGTGAGGAGGAAGAGACAATCTCCTGCTGGGTTTGCATGGAGATCAAAAGGAAAGTTAATGGATATGAATAGAAAGACCCCTGGCATTGGCATAAAAAATTAGAAAGCATCAGAAAATGGACTATCCTTAACACTGGTTGCAACATTTTGTTAAAGGAGAGGTGCCTGGGGTTAGAGTCTGGGGGGAAGTTGTACGCCTCACCCTAATTTTAGTTAGGGGAGGTGCAGCAAGCTTCTGATCTATATATCCATTGACAGCTGTTGCTGTTTTCAGTTCTGCGCTGCAGGCTGATGATAGCCTGTGTGTAAATTCATGTCCATTTATATTTTGCTCTTGCAAAGGTTTTAAATGCCACTCTTATTTTATTTATTTATTTATCCATTCACTTGTAATATTTGTAAATGCTGCAAATATTTGTAGTATTTGTAAACTTCCCCAATCATTCTGACTCAAGGCAGTGTATAACAAAGCAGTTAGGATCCTCAGCAGGCCATCTCAAGCAGAGTCGCATTTCCTTATTTTAGCCTGGTGCTATGCCACATAGAGCTTTATAGCACAGCACTTTGAATTGGGCCCAGAAACCTACATCCATAGTGATTAACCTGGTACCATAAGACAAGGACAAACCCTGACTTCCAGTCCTGGCTTATTAAGAGACTAACAAGTTACAACTGCTGAAGAATAAATAATCCATAGAAGAAACTTCCAGGAAGGGTTGCTGCTGGCATACAAGGTGCCCTTGTCCAAAATTCCACTTAATTTTCCCCCAAAACCTGCTTCCAGATTGGGAAAGGCTGCAATAGGTGGCCAGGCCAATCTCGCACAACATCCTAAAAGCTGATTATAAAAGCCAGGAGATACAGGGCAGAAAACGGAATAGAGGTGGTGATAAAAGGGCAAATTTGTATGGCCCCCTTATCACAACATAAATAGATCATAGACACCTGTCTTTATGATGCAGTCTTTGTTTCATCCCCAGACAAGGCATTTTAAAGTAGTGTTCTCCCTCTTCTGACACAATTTGGATCAAGGATAGGATCTAACAGACTTCATCAAATATGTGGTTGATAATACTGGGAGAGGTTGGGATCTGCCCACTTCCTATTGGTCACTTTAGGCTGCTGTGGATTGGCCTCCTGGTCATTGGCTTGGGATTGCAGGAGAAACTGGATACTCGGCTTCCACAGAGGCCTCTGCCTGTATAATGCCTGACTGAAGCTTTCCAAAGTGCCTATCAGGCCTCATATGGGCTCCTTATATAACTGGGTTTAGTGCTTTTCAAAGAGAGGTACTGCAGATCTGTGTTTCAAAATAGCAGGAATCACTTTTGCTTGAGAGAGTGTTCGATCTCTGCTGCATAGATTGATCTATGATTTTCATTTCCTAGTCTGATCTACCTTGGAGGACTGACACCTCCAAGGATACGGCTGAGGTACATCAATATGTGGATGACATCCAACTCTATTTCTCCTTTTCATCTAACGTAAGTGAGGCGGTTGGTGTTCTGAACCAATAACACATTGGATGAGGGCCAAAAAAATGAGACTTAATCCAGACAAGACAGAGATACTATTGCATCTGTCTATTGGGTGATGCATCTGTCCAGCTAAGTGGTGCCTTGCCTGTCCTGAATGGATCTGCACTTGGCCTAAATGATCAGATTTGTGGTTTGGATGTGCTCCTAGATCCATCACTGCCACAAGAGGGCCAGATGGCACAACATCATTTGCTGGCCTTGTTGCTGAGGCAGAATGAGGGACTAGCAATTTGGGCAGCACAATTTATATTGGCAGACTTTTCTGCCAACTCACAAACTGAAGCACAGCATTTTAATACAGCTATCTGTTGGTGTCCACAGTTTGCTGCAAGGTATTAATACAGATGCAATATCTCTTTAAAATGAGCAAGATATTAACACTGCCATCTAGTGACTCCTTCCCCAGAACTGTAGTGTAGGAAGGAACTTGTCCCATAGACACATCACCTTGGTAAGAAAGATGCTCTGATTTAGATAACTAATGTTTGAAAGGCTGTCCTCTTCACCAGTAGGTAATCCACTCCAATTTAGCTTTGATTAACTTTTTATGCATACAATAACAACCTTAATTCTTTCTATCTTTATTAATATATAGACTTTATTAATATATAGAGAGAGCCAGTTTTGTGTAGTAGTTAGGCACCAGGCTAGAAACTGGGAGACTGTGAGTTCTAGTCTTGCCTTAGGCACGAAGCCAGCTGGGAGACCTTGGGCTGGTCACTCTCAGACCTAGGAAGCAGGCAATGGCAAACCTTCTGAAATCTTGCAAAGAAAACTGCAGGGACTTGTCCAGGCAATCGCCAGGAGTCAACACTGACGTGAAGGAATAAAATAAAATAATAAAATATACAATAAATAAAATAAATTAATAAAATAAAATAAAATAAAATAAAATAAAATAAAACTGCTTAGCTGATGTCTCATTTCTTTTCTACCAGTCAAAGGATCTGTATTATCTTGCAGAAACCTGGCCTACATTTAGGATTTTTATTTCCAGAAAAGGAAGATCTACAAATATTTGTTTGCTTCTTTCCACTGTTTGGAAAAGCACTTATCACAACCATACACTATTGTGTACCTGGTAAAACCCAATTTGTATGTCTGAAATTCCACTATCCCTGCATCTACAGTAGTGTTTATTTAGCGACTGCAATTCTGTCATTAAGCAAAATGGTCACTAGGTGAAGCCGCAACTGTGTTTATGATCTTACTTCAGCTTTCCTTTGCTTTACAGACCCGCAAAGGTAATAAATACGAGGATTGGTCACAAAGTTGCTTTTTCATCACTGTTGTAACTGCAAATGGTCACTAAATGAGGCAGTTGTTAAACAAGGAGTACCTGTAACTGAAATAACTTCCATGTGGTGAAGAGTTCTGGAAACTTGAAAAGCTGTATAGTAATTCTTTACAACTAAATACCTAATAAATGTATTGTCTTGAAGGATTCTGATTATTTTTCTCTTCATGATCGATATTTGTTTTCTAAAGGTTTATGGTCATGAAAAGGTGATATTCCTGTCCTTGGTAACCTGATCTTCTTTCCAGCTTTCAGCTTGGAGAGAAAAGAGCTGGGCTTTGCTTTGCCATAAGGTTTTTGGCATGTTTGTGGTACCTGGATATAGCAGCAAATTTTTGGCATGTCATGGTGCTCATCCTTTGGAATATCATTCCCCCAGAGATTAGATTGGCCTTGAGCCTATTGGCCTTTCATAAGGCCTTATGAACTTGGTTTTGTCACCAGACCTGGAGATCAGGAGGCATGGCTAAGCCTGTACATTGGTTATGATGATTTGCGATGAATGAGTCTGTTTTATCCTGGCTGCTGTTTCTATGTGTGTTGTTTTTCTGTTGTTTCTGTTTTTATATTTTCTTTTAATGTTGTTAGCTACCCAGAGTCATGAATTTGAGAGGAGCAACCATATAAATTGAAATAAATAAATAAATAAATAAATAAATAAATATATAAATAAATAAATAAATACAGTGTCATCAGAATTCCTAGACTACTTCTGCAGAGCTGAAACTTAGGATCTAGAAATCACAGTACCCAAACAAGCTCCTCTTCCCATCCAAGGCATTTGGAACAAATTAGGGATCCTCCTTATTCTGCTCCAAGATTTGGAGGATTTCTGATGGCTATTGATGATTAACCATGGTGAGCATGGGAAGCAGAATTGTGGAATCTTAACTTTATCCCTTCTGCATCTTCCAATGCCTGATATTATAGAGCTTCCCAATAAGGAATGAATAGAAGAGGAAGTACAGGTAGTCCTTGATTTACGATGGCAATTGGGACTGGAATTTCCATTGCTAAGCAATGTGGTCATAAAATGCAACCACATTGCTTAGCGATGGCAATTCCTGCAGTCCTGGTTGCTGTTGTTAACTAAATCCCATGGTCAGTAGATGAGGCAACTTGCTGCCAGCTTCCCACAACCAAAGTCAGTGGGGAAGCTGGCAGGAAGTTGCAAGTCCCAGGCCCATAGGCAGGTAAGTGGTTGCTGCTGGGTGGGGGAGGGAGCAAGGGGAGGGTGTGTGGGGCTGCAGGGGAGGGCTGGGGGAGGGGTGAAAGAGTGCGAGGGGGCGCACGAGAAGCGCCATGTGGGTTGGAGAGGTTGCATTAAGGTGAGAGGGAGTGTGCAAGAGGTGTGGCATGGGTCGGGGAGGGTGCGAGGGGCATGTGAGAGGTGTGTGGGTTGGGGAAGGTCAGAGACAGTGTATGAGGATGTGACCGGATGTGCGAGGGGACCACCGCGGGTCAGGAAGGGGATGCGAGGGGGTGCATGAGAGGCGCAGCATGGGTTGGGGAGGATGTGCAACAGTGTGAGGTGGTGCACGAGAAATGCAGGTCAGGGAGGGCCAGGGAAGGTACGCAAGGGTACGAGGGGGTATGTGAGAGGTGCAGCGCAGGACGGGGAGGGTGTGAGAGGCACTGCATGGGTCAGGGATGGTGCGGGTCAAGGAGGTGCACAGGGGTGTGTGAGTGGCTGACATGAGTGCAGAGGGGCTGGGGCAGGGTGCATGGGTGGGGGAGATTTACCCCAGCAACTTGCAACCTTCCCTGCTGGCTTCCCCATTGACTTTCTGGAAGGTTGTAAATGGTGATCACATGATCGTGGGGCACTTGGCAAACGGTCCTAAGTGCAAATGGGTCGTCAAGCACCCAGATTTTGATCACGTGACCGTGGATGTCCTGGGAAGCCCATTCTATGTTATCTAAATTTCTGCACCTATCTGCAAGAAAGAGGAGGATCACAAGCAAAACAGTTTAAAGCATGTAGATGATATTAAGAGTTTCACAAGAATACACAGATCCATTGTGGTGTGGTTATGAAATGGGGCTTTTTCACACAATATGCCCAAAGACGTTATAGGATATCTGTAAAGTTATAAACAATTTGGACGTAGGCTCTAAAGGAGCACATTTAAATAAATGATCCTAATTGAAACTTAAGATTTGTGAGAGAGACTTTAAGATCTGACTGGCAGATGCAAAGAAGTGGCCTTTTTTGGTGGTGGTTCAGGTAGTTTGAGAAGCATTCAACAAAAACAAGAGAAAAAAAAAGAAGCTCCAAAAATACTTTAAACAAAGGTACTGATTTAAGAACGGTTTGGGATGCAAGTAAAGCTTTTACCAGAGGTTATATCATACAACATAATAGTGAATTCAAAAAGAAGAGGAAAGAGAAAACACAAGCTATTTTGGATGAGATAAAGACAAAAGAAGAATTAAAGAAATTTCCAAAGAAGGTAAGTATTTCTCAACAAATTAAGCTTTTACAGCGACAGTTATCTGTGTTAACAATAAGAGAAATGGAAATAAAAATGAGCGATGTAAAGCAGAAAAACTGAGTTTGCAAACAAACCAGGGAAATGGTTGGCATATAAATTATGAAAAGAAAAAGAAAAGAAAATGATACTGAAACTACAAGAAGGAGACCCTGTATTAATGGATAGTGTGGCCTTGCAAAAAGCATTTCATCAATATCATTCTAACTTGTATAAAACAAGTGACATCTCTTTGAAGAAAATAGATGAATACCTAAAGAAACAAAATTTTCCAAGGATTAGATAGGAACAGAAACAGATTATGAATGGACCTATAACAATAAGGGAAGTTTCTGAAGCTATAAAAAAGATTAAATCAGGTAAGGTGACTGGAACAGATGGATTATCAGGTTCTTATTATACATGTTTTAAGGATGAACTTTTACACCTTTACAAAATACGATAAACTGTAGTTTACAGGGAGGAAAGATCCCAGAGAGTTGGCATCTTATAGCACTAATACCTAAAGAGGGACAAGATTTGACTTTAACAAGAAATTATAGGCCGATATCATTGAATAATGACTGCAAATTGTTTACGATTGTGGCTGAATGAAAATAATTTTGCAAGAATTTATCCATGAGGATCAATGAGGGTTTTTACCTAAAAGACAGTTAAAGGACGATCTTAGAATGTGTTAGATATTTTGGAATATTTGGAGCAACGTAATGAAAAACAAACTCCACTGATTTTCTTAGATGAGGAGAAGGCCTTTGACAATTTGAATTGGGCTTTCCTGTTCAAAGTTTTGGAAGATATGAACTTTGGAGAGAATTTTATAAAATGGGTAAGATCAATTTATACTTCACAGAATGCACAAATTATTGTCAATGGAGATTTAACAAAGCCTTGTGAGATACCAAAGGAACAAGACAGGGATGTCCACTGTCTCCTCTCTTGTTTATTTTGGTCCTTGAAATAGAGATAAAAGACAAGATGAGAGGATTATGGGATAAAGCTTTTTTAAAAAACTGTTATAAATTAAGGGCTTTGGAGATGGCTTGGTGTTGGTTTTGTACAGTCATTTAAAGGGAATTGAAACATTAATGGGAAAACTAAAAGAATTTGGTATATTAGAAGGTTTTAAGATCAACAAACAGAAGATGAAGATGTTAACA